AACTTGTAGGAGTATTTGTTTGATAAAATCTAACATATAATTCTAAGGTAGGCACAACTGGAATACAATATTTTTGCTACAATGAATAATTTAGAAGATCTTTTTAGAGAATTTTAATCTCATAAAATGTTATAAATAAATATGAAAGGATAAATTAGATCATATAAATAAATAAAAATGACTAATTGATTATTTTGGCTCATATATCTTGATGATTTAACTTGCATCAAATAAAAAATGGCATAATACTTTATAGCTAACCATTGTTTTTCTATTGATTTAAAAAAAAAAAAATATATAGAATCAATTTTTTTTTTTTTCATGTTGTTTTGTAAAATAATAATTGAAGTATTATAATATATAAATTTACTAAAAAAAGTGTAATTAAAGAGGCAGAGGCAGCAGCCTAATATGTAATAACATCACCATCAGTATTTAAAGAGAGGAAGAGATTGAACTCATAAATTTGCTAAAAGTAGTTGTTTTCATGTGCATTTAAACCTAAAATTAATTAATATAAATGTCACACGAAATGAAATTATCATGTTAAACTAGCATTCGACCATGTACATTTGCGCAGATGTAAATAAAATATTATAAATTATTTATATGCATGTAATATTAAAAATATAAGTTAGATAATAGTGTTAGAGTACTATAAATTATATTTACGCATATATTATTAAAATTATAAGTTAGACAAAGGTATAACGTTTTTAAATTCGATCATCGATTAAAATAAAGAGTGAAATTTTAGACGGAAAAAAAATGAAAATTTTATGAAATAGGTAAAATTAAATGCTAACCAACAAATATATATATATATAGATGAAAGCCTGAATTTCTAAATCCCACACAGAATCACAATTATAGCAAACACGATAAAACCCCGAGTGAGTGACATCCTATAAATCCACAAAAGAAAATGTACTTTCACATTATGCATATTAAAAGGCATTATAAATTAGCTTATAATGTGTTTCATTATTTTGAAATTAAGCTTCTTGTATTCAAATAAATTTGATTTGGTACGTAAAATGAAGTTTTCTAAAAGTTTGAACTTATCTGATAAGCTTATGTTGGCAGTATAATTTATCAAGAACGCACATTGAATTATTTATTTAACTTACTTATTTACTACTAATTTTATCAATTTTTATTAGATCAACTAGTTTTTCGGTAATAAGTCATAAACTATCATAAACTATTACCCATTATAAACTCAAAATTCACTTGCTATTAATTATTAAACCGACTTATCCGTTAATTTTACCTCATTTCTATTACATCGACTTGTTTTATGGTCATAAACTATCATCTATAACCTAAAAAATTACTTATAAACAATCAACTCATTTATTAGTTATCAGTTATTCAATTGATTTATCAGCTAATTTTACCACTCTTTTTATATTATCTCAACTAGTTTTTCAATTATTAGTCATGAACCATTACTTATAAACTCGAAATTCACTTATAAATTATAAGCTAATATCAAATATCAACTATTCAATCGACTTATAACTAATTTTGTCAAACACTTCGATTATATCAATTAAACTAGTGTTGCTACCCGTGCGATGCACGGGATACAATATAAAAAAAAAAAGAAATTTTTCTATTAAATATTATTAAATTATTTAAGATAATATGTCAATTCTTTTCGACACAATATATGAAGTCTGTAATAGTATAATATTTATTTAAATTTCCCACCTTCTTGAACATGGTGTTAGTGAGATCAAATAAAATATTATAAAAATATAAGATTTAAAAAATAATGATTGTATACCAGTTACTTGCATATACTTATATAATTATTGATTATATTAATCTTATAATTTTTTAGCAATTCATTTTGCATATTGCTAGATACTGGCCAACGTTTAATTCATAAAATTATTTTTTATTTATAATCACTCTAATTGCATGAAATACTAACTTATGATAAATAACTTTTAATTTTTAGTAACTTTTATCTCTTGTGCAACGCAAAATTTTCATGGTAAATAATTTATGTTGTATTTAATATTTTTTTTGTATCTATTTATTTATTTAATTCATTAAACTCAACATATATAATAATTTAATTAATAAAAAAATTTAATAAGTTTATATTCCAATGACTATAAAATCTTATAATTTCAATTATTATTTGACTATAGAAATTTATTTACTCATTGTTCTTCATAAAAAGATAAATAATAAAAATTTTATTTTTTAACACTTTGAATAGTATTTTTTGTATATATAGATATTTTAATGTGAAAATTATAATTCTTAAATTTACCCGTCGAAAAAAGGCAATTTATTAATATATATTCTTTATATTTTAGTTTATTCATGGTTAAGTTGACTGTATTTTATAAAAGTTATTTATATTTTAAATCTTTCATTAAGCAAATATAATTCAAACATAGTCATTTTCATTATTTTATTATATTTAAGTATTTCTGATTGATTATCATAATTCATATCTACAACCATGAGATGATAACAAAACTAATCACAATATTTTTTATAATTATAATGGGTATTTTTTTTTTTAAATTATGTCATCAGAAGTATTATGAAATTGGTATTATTGATCTTATTCAAAATATATCTAATCAATCAATCATTCTATTTAAGTGTGTGTGTGTGTGTGTTAATATGTTAGTGTTGATTTTTTTTTTATATATTTACCCAATCATCAAAACAAAACTTGTACTAATATATTTATATCTTTGGGTATATTATTAAAATAATTAATTTATCTTCACATATCTTTGAGACCAAAATTTATTTCAAGCAAAAATTAGTTTAAATATTTTAAAAGTCGTACTAATACATTTATAATTTTTAATATATTATTAAAAAAAATAATTTATCTTCACGAATCTTTAAACCAAATGTTAATTAAAACAATAAATAGTTTAAATCTTCTCAAATTCCTTAATGAACTAATTAATTTTAGTTTTATGTAATAAATAAATGTCTAATAGTAATTGCCAAATTTAGCTGAAATATTTAGGCGGGAAAATTTGTGACAAATATAGTAAAATGGGTTGGTCCATTATATAGATATAGATATAGATATAGATTGTCAGCCATCAGTTATGAACTATTACTTATTAACTAATTTGTCATCTATTAATTAGCTAAAAGTCTTCTATAAACTATTATCTACAAGTTCAAAAGTATTTATAATCTATCAACTAATTTATCAAGTATTAGTTAGGTGAATGTTATTGTGGTAAACTACCACGGTATCACCTATGTTCAAATATCATTTAAAATATATAGGTCATGTTTGTTAAGTTTCGGCCACAAGTTACCTATTTAAGCAAAATAGTCGTTTGCCTTTTAAAACATTCCATTTTAAAATGTTTGCTTAATAGTTTTTTGAAATATATATATATTTTTTTTTTTTTTTT